TTACATAGAAATATATAGGAAATTTCTTTCAAAATCTTCTTCTCAAGAATGACAAAGCCATAATTCATCATATTTATATGGAAGCATGACCCCCGGGGGTAGGGCGGGGCCAAAATGGACGACCAAAGTTTTACATAGAAATATATAGGAAAATTCTTTAAAAATCTTCTGCTCAAGAATGACACAGCCATAATTCATCATATTTATATGGAAGCATGCTCAGGTAGTGTAGATTCAAGTTTGTTAAAATCATGACCCCCTGGGGAAAGGCGGGGCCAAAATGGACGACCAAAGTTTTACATAGAAAGATATAGGAAAATTCTTTAAAAATCTTCTTCTCAAGAATGACAAAGCCATAATTCATCATATTTATATGGAAGCATGCTCAGGTAATATAGATTCAAATTTGTTCAGATCATGACCCGCGGGGGTAGGGCGGGGCCAAAATGGCCGACCAAAGTTTTACATAGAAATATATAGGAAAATTCTTTAAAAATCTTCTGCTCAAGAATTACGAAGCTATAATTCATCATATTTATATGGAAGCATGCTCAGGTAGCGTAGATTCAAGTTTGTTAAAATCATGACCCCCTGGGGTAAGATGGGGCCACAATGGCCGATCCAAGTTTTACATAGGAGTATATTGGGAAAATCTTTAAAAATCTTCTTCTCAAGAACCACTGGGCCAGGAAAAATGAAACTCATGTGGAAGCATCCTCAGGTAGTGTAGATTCAAGTTTGTTCAAATCATGACCCCCGGGGGTAAGGTGGGGCCACAATGGCCGATCAAAGTTTTACATAGGAGTATATGGTGAAAATCTATCAAAATCTTCTTCTCAAGAACCACTGAGCCAGAAAAGATGAAACTCATGTAGAATCATCCTCAGGAAATGCAGATTAACATTTGTACAAATCATGACCCCCAGAGGTAGGGTGGGGCCTCAATGGCTGATCAAAGTTTTACATAGGAATTACATAGGAAAATCGTCTTCTCAAGTACTTCAAAGCAATGATTAGTGATAGTATAGGATGAAAATGTTTTTAGCTCACCTGAGCCGAAGGCTCAAGTGAGCTTTTCTGATCATGTTTTGTCCGGCGTCCGTCCGTCTGTCCGTCTGTCTGTAAACTTTTCACATTTTCGACTTCTTCTCAAGAACCGCTGGGCCAATTTCAACCAAACTTGCCACAAAGTATCTTTGGGTAAAGGAGATTCAAATTTGCTCAAATGAAAGGCCATGCCCTCATTCATGGGGAGATAATTAGGAATTAATGAAAATTTGGTGGCATGTTTTAAAAATCTTCTTCTCAAGAACCACTTTGCTAGGAAAAATGAAACTTATGGGGAATCATCCTCAGGTAGTGTAGATTCAAGTTTGTTAAAATCATGACCCCCAGGGGTAGGGCGGGGCCACAATAGCCGACCAAAGTTTTACATAGAAATATATAGGAAAAAAATCTTCCTCTGAAGAATAACAAAGCCATAATTGATCATATTTATATGGAAGCATGCTCAGGTAGTGTAGATTCAAGTTGTTCAAATCATGACCCCCGGGGTTAGGGCGGGGCCACAATGGCCGACCAAAGTTTTACATACATTTTTAGAAATATATAGGAAAATTCTTTAAAAATCTTCTTCTCAAAAATAACAAAGCCATAATTGATTCATATTTATATGGAAGCATGCTCAGGTAGTGTAGATTCAAGTTTGTTCAAATCATGACCCCCTGGGGGTAGGGCGGGGCCACAATAGCCGACCAAAGTTTTACATAGAAATATATAGGATAATTCTTTAAAAATCTTCTTCTCAAGAATAACAACGCAGCATTGTTAAGGCTTGAAAAGGGGGCAGGGCCTAATTTATAAGGGAAAAGTTTACTGTGACGTCACACAAAAATATGACTTTTAGGTATTTCTCATAATGCCTGAAAATGAAGTAATTTGCAACTTTTAACTGTATTAGCATAATAAACAACAATATAGCTTATTAGTGCGTTAAAAAAAGTTGCTTGTTAAATCCCATGTAGCAGGTTTTAAACAAAGCACTGATCGCGATGAACTTGTAAACATGACGTTATTTTGGTAAAAATGACGTATTTCATGTGCTGTGAGAGGCAGATTGAAGAATTTTTTATCAATGAAAAATGTGTTTTATAATTAAACGGAATATTATTTACAGGTTTTGAATACTAGTAGTCGATAAATACCAATGTGTATTCTTTGTTTAGTGCAGTTATTAATTAACTACCAAGTAAATGAATTTTATTAATTATGTCGTGTTTTATGTACAGGTTTCGTATATTTTACATCGAGATGCCTCATAAAATCGTACTTTCGCAAGGGCATACACTGCATAGATCTGAACCATTTTTTGAATATAGGTAAAGGATATTTTCCTTAACTTGAAAAATGCTGCTGCTTTCTTTAAATCGAAGGCGTGATTTTATAAGTACACAGAATATTTGGTAAAAGTCAAACATATTTTGACATTGGCTTATTTACTAAAAAATTTAGCTATTAAAACGCGAATTCTGTTCAAAGCAGCAGCACTTTTCAGAAACTACAAAGTATGCAGAAACAATTAATAGCTTGAATTTTTAGTTTCAACTAGGGTTTGCCCTTGCGATACTGAAATTTGTTAATGACCTACATTCAGTACACGAACTATGCATTCATCACGTGACTGTCCATCGATGGGACTAAACTTCATACAGTACAGAGTGGGTTATACTATACTATTTCCATAAGTATTAAAGTTCTGTGATAATAAAACAGCTTAATTAAACTACATTCAATTTTAAAAAATACCCCTTTTTGCACGTCTATTTTCCGTTGATTTCTCATAGTAGGCCTTAACAGTGCTGCGAAAGCCATAATTGATCATATTTATATGGAAGCATTGTCAGGTAATGTAGATTCAAGAATGTTCAAATCATGACCCCTGGGGGTAGGACGGGGCCACAATGGCCGATCAAAGTTTTACTTAGACATATATAGGAAAATTCTTTAAAAATCATCTCCTCAAGAATAGCAAAGCCATGATTGGTCATGGGACTACTTTTGGATTTAAACTTTTCAATAATAAACCAATTCTACTTTTTCCTAGCCACAGTGCTCAGGTGAGCGATGTGGCCCATGGGTCTCTTGTTTGTGAAAATAGATTGTTATTCTTAGTCCTCATGAAGCCTTAATAAAGATTCAAAGAAGACGAAAATCTATTTTTTCTTAAATTTTAACAAGTGTTAGCCAAGACACCAAGCAATGAAATTTTATTTCATATAATAATCATGTTTCCAGTGTAAAGTAGTAATGATGGACCAAGTTTCATCAAAATAAGTATCCATGTGTGGCAAAAAAAAATAAGTTGGTTAAATAAAATAGCTCTTAATATACAAGAAAGGAAAGGTAACTCAAATATAAAACTCTCAGAAAACTACGTGTAAGTTAGTTTGAAAAACTATTTTTTTTTACAATAACAGGGGAGGTGATTTTATTATTGTTCTTTGGCCATAGGGGGAATATATTATTAATCTTAAAAAGGAAAGAAAAAGAATAAATTATTAAATTATTTTAAAATGCTCATTAAAGTGTGTATTTAATTTAGTAAAATTTGCCAATTAAAATGAAAATGATGTAACTAATATATGAGTCTTTTATATTAGATATAATTTTTCTTTTGTTCTTATATTAGACATAATTTTTCTTTTGTTCATACAATTCTATAACTTTAAAGTGATACACTGTGTATGAATAATAACTATACTTTTTGGGGGAGGAACAGCAGCGTAAGAACTTATTATATATTCTCATTTTTAATTTACTATAGAGTAAGGGATTTAGTTCTTAGTTTTATGCAACCAAGGTAATGTATTACAAAATTCTGCGAAGTGAATGATGTTTTTAAATGGGGCTTATGTTCATGATTATTATATCAAATGAGATGAATTTTAAAATTAACTTGATATTAAATGAGTTGATTTTGAAAACAAACTTGATATCAAATGAGATAATTTGTAAAGAAACTTCAATCTTTTGAAATCTTTGTAGAGTTTTGGACAAAATTTTGTTTCTTTTGTATGTATTTTTTGTATGAATGATTTTTTAAAAAGAAATAAAGCACTTAAAAATTATGCTTTTTTGAAGTTTCAAATGAATATTTTATGTATGGCTTGCGTATTTTTGTTTCTATTAAACACTTCGTCAAACGTACGAGTAGAAAATAAGAAAAAAAATAAGATATACTGTACAGTGTATGGGGAAAACTATTACATTTTAATTTTTTTTAGAAAGTTAGAAGAAATTCACTTCAGTTAATATCTATTATAAATTAACTTATTATTTTAATTTCGTGGTGTTATAAGATAGACTTTGCTAAGAAAATCTCTGCAAAAAATAAATAAATCATATTTGCAAAATAGGAGGATGTATCATAATATCACTTGAGCTTTGAAAAAAAAATAAAGTAGTAAAAATATTATATTTCATTGATTTTGGCTTCTCGAATCCCGGAAAAATTAATGAATTTTCAAATACAATATCTATAACAAGTACCCGTGCTTATGTCAAATAAAATTACCTTACAGTTGTAGTGAAAGCATTCATTTAGTAAACGTATGTAAAAATAAGTGTTATATCAAAGCTGTAGCTCTGCATTTCTGCTTCAAATGAACTACATATATAAAAACAAACAAAAGCTCAAACAAAACAAATAGTGAACACAATGATATTTAAAAAAATTAATTTGTGTCATATTTCAATTATTTGCAAGGAGCAATTTGAAAAAAAACTAATGACTGAAATTTTTTTTTAAATTCAATAATAATTCATTTTTGATAATGCTACTTTCATCAACATGTCATCCAAAGATTCGGTACATCATGAATTTCTGTCTTTGTTTACCGGTGGTGCTTGTAGTGTTCCTGTTTTTATCTGCTTATCTGAGTTGTGTATCATTGATAAGACCCGCTACATTACTTACTAGATAATATCTTAATAGATAATTTCTACAATGACATTATTTTCTCCAGGTTGGTATTTTAATTCTAATGTATATTATTATTATGTATTTTATACACGTATTTATCAAGTTAATGTATGAGTAATTAATAATGTATGAATGATGCTGCAAAAGAAATGCAAACATCTGCATTGGAAGAATTTGAAATGTACTTTCTCAGGGTATAGTTACAATTGAAAATTGAGGTTTATAATGTAAGGACTTTTAGAAAATGAAATTTATTGAAGTACCAAAAAGTGATACGGCTTGAAATTTATTTTTTTTTTGAAGGCTGACGTAAAAAACGTAACAGAGAGTTAGGATTCTGAAACATTGCATCATTATCCGATTTGGCAAATCATCTATATTTTTGTTTCTCCCATTATAAAAAGATCTGATATAAAAACAAATATTACGACAATTTTCTTTAGTTATTGTTGTTGGGTTTTTTTCTTGCAGTATTCGTCGTTTTATCAACGTTGTTGACTTTAATATTAGATGTAAGAGGTAAAGGTTTCGATTTTACACGAATATGGAAAAAAAGTATTATAAATGATGGTATTCTAATAAAGATTTTCAAAAGATTTGATTGCATCTATGTACAATTTTAACTCTAAATTTGAAAACAAATTACACTGGTTTCATAATTGCTATTCACTCCAGCTGCCGAACCGTTGTTCTGTTTAAGTTGTTCCTCAGTGATCTCCCCTCGACATTGTCACAATATTCAGAAATGTGAGGAAGGACAGGTATGAAATGCTTGTTTAACACAGTTACATATTCAAAAGATTTTAAATATAATCTTTTTAAAACCGCTTAAAAAGTGAATTTAAATACTAGCAAGAGAGTTCTTTAGAATAAAAAAAAAAAATAATGTTCAATAAATAAAGATAATTTCATGGTTTATATCGTATTTTTGTTGTTGTAATGTTTTTTAATGTTTTTTAATTACCCCGGTATCACTTTTTTGTCTTGGTCAGTGACTATACAATACAGAGTATCAAAAAAATTCAGAGATACTTTTGCTTGCAATTGAAATTGAAAAGAAAAATAAAAGATTTAATATTTTAGAGAACGCATAATAAACTGTTTTTCCAAACAAAAAAAATTAAAGCGCAAAATTTTCAGTGGTATATGCAAATACCTTGTATGAGTTTTTTTGCAGGTTTGCTATACAGAAAAGTTTACGAATTACAATGGTGAAACATTGTACAATGTCGGTTGCCATACATTGAGTGTAAGTAAATTTCTTTTAATTATTGTATAATGTTGATTTAACACTGAAAACTAAAACGGCTCTGCTAGAAGGATTTCTGTTAAAAAATTTTAAGAGTCCATCTTAATGTATTTGATTCTAGATATTTGAGTTTAACAGTCTCTTATTTAGCAAGAAAACCCGAATGATCAGTTTTGGCCTTCTAAAGAAAGATAATTCAGAGATTGTAAATTATTGAATTCTCTTCCCTTGTAATAAGTACTAGTATTTTCATTTGAAATTATGACATAGAACAAAGAGTAACATCTGGTATTTAACCAAAGAATGGTCTCTGCATCAAGGAAGCGCAAAGGAGTACATATACAGAAAAAAATCTCAAGAACAACAAGTGTAAAGTTCGTAAATATTAAAAACATGATAATATTCTTTCCATAAAAAACTCAAAATGATTCCAAAGTATTACATTTTATGTCAACATTTTCAATTGATGTTCCACCTTTTTATAACTAGATCATTGTTTCAGTATTGTAATTTAACCAACGTTGGTAGCAGTCCTCTTGATATTACGTCGAATACCGAAATAAAACAGTGTATTGAGTGCTGTGACGGAAATGCTTGCAATAGTCATGGTTGTAAATCTTTGGGTAAGTGTTTCAGTCAAAACAAATACCACTGTACCTTAACTTCTCTCCAAGAGAAATGAAGGCATTTCATTCTCTAGGGAGATGACAAGGTTGTCATCTTGTTTTTTTCAGAAAGAAAGTAACAGTGTATCTTTTTATTTAATCATAGACTACCCTGTAACCAGAGGTCCAATATGTTTTAGTTGTCAACAAACTACAGACCCTTCATTGTGTAGAACAATAAGAGTTTGCAACGAAGATGAGGTAATTAACCAAAACAAATATTTAAATAATGCAGTAATTACATATGAATATAAGGCATACATCTTAATTGATTTTGAGTATGACCTTTTGTAGTATTAATTAATATATCTTATATTATTTATATTATACAAACATGGGTAGTTATGTAATACAAACATTTGATTTGATTTGAACATATTTTATTTTGTAATTAATACATTAATGAAATACAAACATGATTAATTATGTAAATAACAGTTCATAAAAAAATAAATCTGACAAGTCTTTTTGAAAAAGATTAATAAAAGTATATATAGCATTGATACAGATACAGTTAGATTGCAAAATTAGTACTACTTAGTATTTTGTTTTTCTGGATTTGTTATACTTTTTATAAAATATAGGTGTGTCACCTCCACGAAATTCACGAATTTGGGGAACGTTTTTTCTCTTCCTCGTGTCTTCAAAGACAAGTACGTATTTCTATTTAATCATTCGATAAAACTTGTATGTAAAAGCTTTAAATTATTTTAATTTTAATAATTTAAATTTAGCACCACTCTCTCTAACAAGGCAGAAATCCTTTAATTAATGAAGTTGCTGTAAAAATGTGAATTTGGAAATCTGTTTCGGTCTTTCTGTATATAAATGTACAATTTAAATTGTTTCCATTCTTTAAAAATCAAAACTACTTTAGAAATACATAGTCCTCTGTGCAATATGCATTTTCATAGCAATTTAACAAATTTGGGGAATACTAATTGGTGTTCAAAGTTTAAAGAATTAAAAATTAAAAATAATTCCAATGACTAATGATATCTTTTCTCAGAAAGATTAAAGGTGCAAGGCTATTCACCGTAATCCCATTGTTATGATGGAATAAAAATTTCATTAATATTATTTAACTGAATTAATTTTCCTGTCCTGTTCTGAAATGTATGTACATGTACAAGTTAGAATTTTTATGTAGCTCATTTTTTCAGATTTGCAATGCATATAATCCTGGAAGTTTATTTGGTAGAAAACGATTTGTACATGCTTGTTCCATGTGTTGTGGAAGCGACCTCTGCAATCACAACTGTACGTTATTGTACAATCATTTTATTTCGTGGGGGGGGAGGTCAATGTTCGTGAATAAGCAAACTTTTTTTCATTCGTGGAACGTAATTATATGGGTTACTCGTATTTACAATGAATAAAATTAATAAATATGTTGACCTATTAAATGTATTTATTTGTGAGGATGAAAATTCGTGAATAAGGTTGGCCTACGAAATCTACGAAAACTGGTCCTCTACGAACATTTAGTATTTTAAACTTACCTTAGATTTATAGATTGCAGATTTTTAATTTATATAAATAGGTTTTCGACTATTGTCGTATCCTTATTCTATTTTCCAAATAAAACCGTATAAAAGACATTTTCTTTTTTACTTTTATTGTATTTTACAATTTTGAATTATTTATCTTTCCTTGTCCAATAATTTTTTCTTCATGTAAATTCATCAATAGAACCTTTTTGGATAAAGAGAGAAGTCAACTCTAAATGGAAGTAGACTATTGAATCTACGATTGATAAAATATAAAAAGAAATAGTAGTTCTTAAACATTATTTTTTTACGTCATTTTTTAATACGATTCTATTGTTTTGAAGGCAGAATTGTGTGTTGAAACAAAATTCTTTATTTGCAGTTTTCATCCATTTAAATGGTTTGGTCCTTTTTATCAAATTTCCTCCGTCTGATAAATAGTTCATGAAAAGGAATTGAGGCAAATATGCATCCAGGAAATTATTCATTTATAGTGTTTTTATTTCAGTAATTTATAATTTTTTTCAATAATTTCATTAATAAAATATAATACAATTTTATCTAAAAATTCCATGTTTACTAATACAGACAGTAGCATGTTTTTGTTTACTTGATTTATGCAAAAAAAAAATCAATTTGAATTTAAAATATGACTTCATATTTATTTTTCAATGGATAAATTGAAAAATGCACGATAATAGAAAATTTCCAATGTTCAAATAATATTTTATTTTATTTTTTCTCTTTAAAAGGTGGACGCGTTCCAGTTCCAGTTGATTGTTTAGATATCTATAAAAACGGTCAAAGAAAAACTGGTGTATACAAGATATACCCTTCCAAGGACTTCAATAAGCCTGTTCAAGTGAAGTGTAATATGGATATACAAGGAGGAGGCTGGACGGTAAATGACGTCATTTAAAAGTTAAAGTGTTAATATCAATATTTATTAACTTTTGAATAACGTTTACAAGTAACATAAGTAGTATAACTACAAGATCATCACTTCTGATGAGATATACAATACTTTGAATGAAGAATATCTAGAGGTTGTAGTAAAGTGGAATCTTAGTGCTTTGAGAGTTTTGCAGATATGATTTGCAAGATAAATATCGTGAAGGAAATTGATATTTGAAAAAAAAATCATTGCAAACTTTTGTGAGCCTGAAAACAGGAGTTTACATCCATTTAAATAGATGTGAATGTCTATTGATTTCCACAGGTTATTCAGCTTAGGTCTAGGGACAACCCTCCCGTGGATTTCAACGTAACATGGGATAAATACAAGAAAGGGTTTGGAGATGTGCATGGAAACTATTGGCTGGGTAATCTTTCAAATAGCGAAGTTCAATTTTTATTTAGTCGTCAGAAATTGTTTTTAAAAATATTTTTTTTAAAAAAATCACACAGCATGTTGTTTGCTGTAGTAGAAAAATCGATAATTATTTTCAAATTTCGAGGTTATCTTATACATGTATCTACTAGGTTGAAAAACAAAATAACACTCAAAATTTCACAGAACATGTAATTTGCTATATTAAATATTCGATATTATTTTATATAGATAATATTACATACCCTTTTCCATATCACATCCTGTATCAGCCCGAGACACCAATATCAACCAGAGGGCTGAGGGCTGATATTGGTCGAGGGCTGATACAGGATGTGATGTGGAAAAGGGTATTATATACTTAGTAACAAAATACAGCCTAAGTTGAAAAGAAAAAAAAGTAAATAATCATGCATGGACTTCTTACATACATGTACATGGTCTATTGTCTCATACGATTTGGGTTTGTTTCTACTTCTATTTCAATGCACTCGATCCTAATTTGAAAATAATCTATTACATGTATTTGTAGATTAAGATTAACTTTATTTTCAAAAAGTTAAAATTAAGAGAATATGAACCCACCAAAATTTTGTATTATCACAAGTACTGTTTTTGTGGTTTTATTTACCAAGGGTGTGATATTGACGTCACAATAGCCATATCAGCCCTGCAAGGCTGATATGGATTTGGGGGCTGATATTGGTTATCAGCCCCGCAAATCCATATCAGCCCTGCAGGGCTGATACGACTATTGTTACGTCAGCCATATCGCATATGCAAAAAACCTGTATTTCTTACTAGGTGTATAATAAAAAGTTATAATCAATATTTATTATAGCAAATTACATGTTCTGTGAAAATTTGATACTATAATATTTTGGTTTAACAGGATACTAAATTTCCTTTAATTCCCTGACTATTTACTTTGAAACTAGCCTTTATTATTCTTATAAATCAGTAAAAATAACTCTTATTTATTCCTATTCAAATACCCTTTCTTCTACATCATTTTTACTGATGAAGAAGTACTTTATAATTATACTGATATAGTTAACAATAGTAAATTTTAGTTAGAATTAAAAGCGTTGTTGAACTGTACCATAACACTGGAGCAATGAGTCTTCAGCATCTTTTAGGAAAACTATTTTCCGAACTGATCAAAAGAGAGAAAGACAAATTTGAAACAATTTCTTGCATCCATAGGAAACGACCTGATTCATCAAATGACCATGCTGTACAACAGTTCTCTAAATATAATGATGAAGAAGACCGATGGTCACGTGTATAATGCGCAGTATTCATCCTTCTCAATCTCAAATGAGGCAGACGATTATCGGCTGTCGTTAGGAACATTTTCAGGAAACGTCAGTAAGTTTGGTCTTGAAGAAATATCAATGTTCTTTAAAAGCTTAAGACAGGAACTAGGATTGAAAATTGCTAGAACTCCAATTAAGATATCATTTTCTTTTAATCAATTTACATACTTTACACATTTCTATTTTAGCTTAATGTTGGTTAAGCCGAAGGCTCAAGAGAGCTTTTCTAGTCAAAAAAATGTTTTACTTTTGTTTCTCTGCCTGTATGTCTGTCGTGCGTTGTCTTTTGACTTTCTTCTCCAGAAAAACGGGGGTAAATTTTACTAGACTGCCTCAAAGCATTCTTGGGAGAAAGAAGTTTAAGTTTGTTTTGTTAAGAAATAAGGTATCATTTTTTGAGTTTTATTGAGATGTAAAACGGGTTGGTCACGTGATCAAATCCCATAAAGCCCGAAGGGCTTTATGGAAGATTTGATCATGTGTCAACCCGTTTTACATCTCAATAAAACTCAAAAAATGATACCTTATTACTTATATTTACATTTGTGACTTATTCATACTTTATATTTGCCTGATTGTTACTTTTAACGTGTGAAATGCGTTAATTTTTCAAACCCAACGGCATGTTTGTAATCCACTAAACGCGCGTCGACCCTTTATGACGTCACAGAGAAATTACGTGGAACGTTTATCCAAACGCACATCTATGACCTTTTGACCCAAACCTGTATTTACACAGTTATAAAAACGCTTGCCTTCAGTAGTGTTATGTAAAGGAAAACATTTGCAAATGTAAATATATAGAAATGGCATTCCCTATTTCAAAGAGCGGGTTAAATATTCGTTAAGTTTGGTGGCACATTCCAGAAATCTTCTTAAGAACTAATGCTCCAGAAAAATGGAACTTAATCATGAATTTATTATATACTGTTCATTCAACTTTCTTCATATTATGCTCCAAGGGTAGGGCGGTGCTGCAAGAGGAGCTACAGTCTCAGAAAGAAATATATTGAAAATATTTTTTCTCAAAAACCCTTCTCCTTATAAAGAGAATATAACAGCTAAGCTTTAAATTATCATATTGATACAGTTAGAACCTCAGGTAGTAAAGATTCAAGTTTACGGGGGGTAGGACGGGGACGACAAAAGGAATCAAGTTTTACATATAAAATAGGAAAATATCTTCAGAAATCTTTATCTCAAATAAAGCCAAGCCTTATAAAGATGCATCCTTTTAAACTTATTCAAAGACAAAAAATATTTAGGAGCATTCTTGAAAATTTCTCCTTGCGAACATCCAAGACATGATTTGTTATATTTCTATAAAGGAATCCTTAGGGAGATTGATAATTATTCAAATAGTTTCTTCGTGGAATAGGGGCGGGTCACAAAGCGGATCAAAGTTAGTCATAAGAATATACTGCATTATTAAGCGCAGACATTCAAAAATGTTGAAAATTCACACATTGTTTTGATGAATACTCCAGCTATTAATGTCTTTGATCTGTATTTTTATGCACCCGGATCGATAGATCCGAGGCGTATATTGTTTTTGTCCTGTCTGTCTGTCTGTCTGTCTTTGTCTGTTTATCTGTTTGTCTGTTTGTATGCAAACTTTAACTTTCGCCATAATTTTTGAACCATGAAAGATAGTGACTTCATATTTGGTGTGCACTCTCCACTAATGAAGCTCTTTCACAAGACATCAAGGTCAATGACCTTGTGACCTTGACTGGGACCTATATACTAAAAAAGGGTTTTTTTTAAAAACCTTCGCCGTAACTTTTGAACCATCAAAGATAGAGACTTCGTAATTAGTATGCATACTCTACTAATAGAGAATAAGATCTTTCTAATGATATATAGGTCACTGACCTTGTGTCCTTGACTGTGACCTTTTTGTTAAAAATAGTTTTTTTGTCTTAAAACTTTAACCTTCGGCCCAACTTTTGAACCATGAAAGACGGGCTTCATATTTGGTATGCTTACTTCCCTCATTTAGCTCTTTCAAATGACATCAAGGTTAATGACCTTGTGACCTTGACTGTGACATATCTGCTAAAAATAGCTTTTTTGAACCTTCACCATAACTTCTCAAACATGAAAGATAGAGACTTCAGATTTGGTATGCATACTCCACAAATCAACTTCTTTCTTATGGGATCAAGGTCAATGATCTTGTGACCTTGACAGTGACCTATATGATATAAAAAGCTTTTTCGAACTTTGTTGCCGCCGGGCGCATAGTGTTTCACAAACACATCTTATAATATAATTTCATTCCCCCTTCCATAAAGCATTTGAGGTTCTAACTTTTGCAATTAAATCATTGCCACACTTCATTTTAAATGCCTGTCAAACTTTTTTCTCTGGATAAATAATCTTAAATTTGGACTATATTGGCTAATATTACTCGAAAAAAAGTATTCGGACATTGATTGAAATAAATGTTATTTTTCATAGAACATTAAATTTCAAATGTTTTTAACAACTCTTATTGGGTCCACTTGCAAATTAAAAAGGGCATACATATATTGAAATACTATAGTAATCATCAAGTAAATATTTTTTACAGCACACGATGAATTCCGAGACCATAATGTGGTAGGCGAGGGATTTTATACATTTGATCACGACAATGCTGCTAAATGCTCTTCCCAGTGTGGCTCCGGGTGGTGGTATCGATCGTGTACAACTACTAATCTTAATGCTCCGTTCTCAGGGGGTCATCGAGACCAAGTGTGGTACAACACAATACACAACGGAGGAGAACTCATGCAGTCATCCATGTTAATAAAAAGATTAATTTAACGTTAATAATCTTATTTAAAAGTACTTCGATATTTATCCCAACAAAATGAATTTAATGAAGGGTCATTATTAGTATTTAAATGTACATATATAATGATTATTTGGGTTGATGTTTTGGCTAATTTTCTTTGTTGTTTAACGTCCATCTCGACTGGAGATCACTCATATTGAGACACCACCACTTAAAATTTGAGGGCTATGCATTTATACTTGGTATTCAGAAAAAGATACGTATCAGTATTCAATATCAAAGTCCATAAATCAATGCAAATAGGAGCAGAGCAAACACGGACCCCCGAAACATCAGAGGTGGGATCAGGTGCCATGAAGGTGTGAGCATCCCATGCTGACCGGTCCTACCCACCATGTGCTCACTCTCATGATCAGGAAATAATGGAAAAAAAATCGTTGACAATTCTGTGTATTAATAATGGACTAACCATAAGTATGAAAAACGTAAGTCAACATTTAACTCAATGATAAATTGTATTTGCTGATAAGGTCATTGTATCGACCATAGAACTTACAAAATGATGAGTTTAAACGAGACTGCCGATATTCTTGTTTCATCAACGTGCTTGTCAATAATTTACATCGTTTAAGAAATTGTTCATACGTAGAGTATGCTCTTGCGTATCGAATCAACTGAGATATATACACTCCGTATGCATGTGATGAAGATATATTGCTGCATAAGTAAGGGAAGTTGACGATAGAAAAGTTAAAGTCATCACGTTTATCATAAAGCTTGGTTGTTAGATTACCATTAACATCTTTTTCAAGTAAAATATCCAAATATGAAACACATGTGTCATACTCTGTAGTATCTTTTATCTCAAACTTGCCAGGATATATCGTATCGATGTAGTAATGGAAATTACCAATGTTAATTGACCATACGTCGTCGATATATCTAAATGTCGAGTTGAGAGGCCACAGCAAGTGTTTTCTTCTTTTCACGCATGATTTTGCATAAATTCTACTTCATATGAATACACTGAGCAGTTAGGATTTTTTTCGTGCCAACACTTTCTGCGACATAGGAACTCGATTTATTTGATCTCATTTGGTCTCCGTGTCCTGCAATGGATTTGAGCTCGCGACGTAAGAATCAACTCCTTTCTCCGCGACTTCAGGGCTGACGCCGTTCTACGCCCTGTGCCACATTGGTTACGTCACTAATATGATTTAATTGCCACTATTCATCATAGTGGCAATATACACGTAGATTTGTGTAGTCAGTGGTGAGCGTGTTCGTCTCGAAAACAATATTACCCGATATTATGCTCTGGATTTTTATTGATAGAGGTTCGATCCTTTCAATAATGAGATCTTTCTTCACAAATTGAACATGTTTTATATATCTAAGGCTAAAGGCCTTCTGCCCGCAATGTTCGCCCATCTCCTTAAACTGTGCTTATTTCTGAGGTACGTTTAAGCATTTTGACGTTTATATGTTTAACGATATAAATTATATAATTTTTGTCGCAACCACAATTTTATAATTTTAAATTGTTTATTAAAATCGCATATATTATTGAGTATTTAGTAAGGTAATCCCTTCACCAAAGTTTTTGTTTAGGATTTTTTTCAACGAGGTTTATGTAATCGTGTAGTTTGGGACTAAAACATGTGTCGTTGATCGGGCAAGAGGGAATGTGGACAGGGGGAGTGAGTGGCGTCGTTGGCCGGAAGAAGTAGAGCCGTATTTCAAGGACTCTTCCCTCGTCCTTGTGTTTGGAATTGAATCGGTCACTGGTAATAGCGTCTGTCAATGTTGGTGGCGTCTTTGGTGTCTGTTGCAAGAATTTGGATAGAGTTCGTTTCGTAATTATCGATAACCGCACGATGTTGTTTTATTGCATGTTCTGAATCCATATTATCTTGTTGTACTGCTTAAATTTCTACAGTCTGACGGTTTATTGTTCGAATATGTCGACGATTATTCTCACGTAGTTCGTCTATAATCTGGAATGCTTGGACCTGGTATATTCCAAAGCAGAATTTCGTGATCTTACATGAGTTACTTCTTCTTTTTGATCTTAAATAATATTTATTTGGTGAAGATTTTCCCGAGTTAATTCTTTTATCCGATCTGAAGCCTTTTTGATAATTTGATCGAATCCGTCGAGTTGTCTCGATCTGCAGCTCTTCGACTTTTCGTTGCAAACTGTTTTCCTGGACGCTTGTTTTCAGTTTCGATTGTAGTTCCGAGATCTGTCGGGAGGTCTCTTGAATAGCGTGCATTTGAAATCTAGTTGAATTTAATTTGCATTCAGTTTGGGACCAAAAGATGTGTCGTTGATTGGGCAAGAGGGAATGTTGGCAGGGGGAGTGAGTTGGCCGGAAGAAGTAGAGCCGTATTCCAAGGACGCACCTCGATGACACATATAAAAGTCCAAAGTAACGAGGAATATGGTTTCCGAATTTATTAAATGTTTGAACGATGGACAACAATTTTAACAATAAAGAATGAATGCGAGTACTCAGACGGAAGTGGCCGGTAATGCGTCTGGCCTCCGAACTGATAGGTAAAATTTGACAATCGTATTTATGGGAAAATGAACAATGAGTTAAAAATGACAAGTTTTGACAAAAAGTGATACAGTGAACAATTAAGGAAATGCTTTGATGACATAAAATAATTACAAGATGTTTGAAAAAGTGATTAAAATGTTCCTTGCGCATAAACACTCTGTTCTTTTGGTGTCCGACAAGCGTCACTCAGTAATTAAATAAAAAATTAGAAATCACATATTAGAAATATTTGTAGAAATGCAGACTTTGAAATAAAATAATTTTACATGATAAAATTTCACACTAAAACCAAAATTAAATGTAGCATTCAGAGTCCAAAATAAATTATAAGAAACGCAGACAATTTCACACGGTGACATTTACATGAAAAGTGAGAGAGATAAGAAACTGAGATCCAGGACTCTTATTTTTCTTGTTTTCCATCGCTATCTTCAGAGTCTGGAGAATGAGAGGATGAGTCAGACGAACTGACGTCTTCAAATTTGACAGAAATGTTTTCTTCTTCTTCAAGAAGTCCAAAAGCAGTGTCCATTCGAAAACAACAGGTGAAGAATTCAGGGTCTTTTGTTGTGTTTGATGCTTCGTTGTCAATATTTGCAGGGTTTTTCTCATAACTGTGATCTGATTCAACGGTTTTTGACTTTCCGGGTTTTACTTCTGGCTCCGTTAATTCTAAACCTTTTTCATCGGAATGTGCAAATAGCGTATCAGTTTCATCCTTCCGGATCGTTTCTGCCCCATCTTCCCTCAGTTCAAAATTGCTGGCGTAAACCATTCCCAAAACATCAACACTGTTCTGTTGCACTGTATGACTTCTGGAAAACACAACAGATCCACTATCACCCGGTTCAGAAAACGCAGTGTCTACACCTTCAATAAGAAAAATATTATCGTTATTTTCGTCATCAACCACTGCACAATGTTCCCAGCTGACAATATTTCCTTTCGTCAGATTTGTTTCTGCACCCCTTTTGTACACCACACCAATATCTCCTAGATCGTTATCAGTGTAAACGAGAGCATTAGATCTCTTTCCATCGTCTCTTCTAAAGGATATGTCACATTCTTTTCGTGAATTTCCTTCAATTTTTACCACGGCAAAATCGCAAGATTTGTCTCTAGTTGTATATACACATTTCCCAATTTCTGACTCTTCATCACTTACATTTGCATACGACGGTTGATTTTTCTCGGTATATATGTGGTTACATGTAAGACCATATAGATTATCATCATTGTTTTCTTCTTGAACCAAGCCACCTAGGGTTGCGGAGAAGACTTTATCGCCATCCTTTCGCAGTATAGCGTCGCCCTGTTTCAATGTTTTTTTCTGCACGAATTTCTTTGCTTCTATTTCTAGTTTATATTTCTCAAAAAACTCGGGTTCCCTTTCTTTCAGTTCATCAATAAGCTCGTCTCTATCCGTGCCACGGGCAACAAATACTTTAAAAGCTCCATTTCTCCATAATCCAAATGAATTCACTCCTGTTCGACTGCAAAATAAGAAATTCTTAGGAAAATATAGTTATTAAAAAGTGACCAATTTTTTCATAGTATTATTAAAAGTAAAAGTTACCCGTAAAGATATTCTTTGATGGTGGGTGGAACAACCGTAACACATTTTGACTTTTTGGAAAGGGTTGTTTGTGGAGTAAGTGAAAGGATGTGTTTCAACACTGATTTCATCTCAAAAGTAAGTTTAGAAGCAGCCTTTGATGACACACTCTCAACTGCTCTCGTCCACTTCTCCAGCGTACGGATTAGGGGATCCTCTAAGCACGATGATAATGCCTCCTGAATTTTTTCTCGGTTTCGATCTACCACGACTATCGAAGGAGGCAGAATTCCAGTATCATCATTACCTAGCTTAACTTTTATTAAAAACTTATGGCATGCTTCATCATCCTTGAGCTCCTGGGAACAAATTAAATAGAAATTTTTAATCTTGTACCGGAAAACATTTTCTTTAATAAGTAGAAATTCGTTTGGCTAATTATCGTCTTATTTAGGGACCAAATATGAATTTGGTTCATATAATTATATCATTTATAGTATCTCATAAATGCATTATCCTTTTAAAAATTGGCACTACAATCTACAGCAACACTTCAAAAATATTTGTGATGATTTTCATTCCTAAAAACACCTTTTATCATATTTGTTCTCTCCTATTCTTTCATGTCATTTTACAAATTAACTCGTCGCCTGCGTGGCGCAGTGGTTAGAGCTCTAGAGTCGCGAAGTTAGGAATTAATCCTTATGTCGCGGGTTCGAATCCCAAAGTGGGATTCGGAGGTCATTCCATCAGATGTGACCGTATAAACCGAGGTCCCGTGTCGAAGTAGGTGCTTAAACGAAAAAGATCGCTGTCTGCTCAGTAGCCCTGAGTGCCGAGTACACATTTAGGACAAAATTTACAGCTCTCCACCGGCAATTGAGTGTCTTCATATGAGTGAAAAATTCTCGAGAGAGACGTACAACATACAAACAATTAAGCAAATTAACTCGAAAGTATATCAAAAGTCCCTACAGTATTTTGAGAGGCAATTCAACAATATATGGAAATCGATATAATAGTTTTAAAATTTTCATTCAAAACTTATACTTGTTTATTTGCAAAATTTATTCAGCTTTAATCATCAATAACGAATATAATATCGAATCATAAAGAGAATGTTACCTCAATTTTCGACTGTTCAAAGCAAATTAGAGGTACTGCAACCCAAAGTTTGCCATGCTGTTTCTTTGAACCTGTTTTAACAATCAGAATAAAATTGTATTCAGTACAAAAGGAAGCTTTAAGGAAACTTAAGAAAAGCAGAAGAACTTTAAATTATTATTACAAGTTAAGCTATATAAGTAGGTAATCGATGAATTTGAAATGCCCGAAAACCGTTCTTTTGTAATGGTTGAAAACACCATTTACTGTGAATACAATTAAGATAAAACCACTAACTTCTCTTTTTGGATATCATTCTTAAATCTTCTTTGGAGACATCTCCAGCAAAACTTATTCTTATTACAAGCTCGTTTGCCGGTGTCATCATTTGATCAAATTTATCAAAAATTTTCCGCAGACGAAATTCGCAATCCCTCACCAAATTATACACATAATGGAAATGAGGAAAACTTTCCGTCACGTAGTATCTGTGATGTGGAGCATCAGTGGCATTATCTAAGAGGAAAATACAGAAATGATTAATTGTAAGAATAAAGTAAGGAGAGATGATACGAACATAAAACTGGAGACTTGGATTGATATATATTTCATGGATATTTCTGTTGCAAATGATGCAATAAAAATTTTCCTAAAATATTGTAAACCTTCTATGGTGATCAAAATTCTACCTTTCTGCGATATTCTCAATAATCTATACAAATATTTTTCCACTTTAAATTCCATTATTGTGAAACTGTGTTCATTTCACTCATTATAACAGGACTCAAGTTATTTTTTTTATTTTTATGAGAAAAATGTGATTGTATTATCTGCCCTTAAAATACTTTTGTTACAGTATCTATAAATCTGATCCGATAATCATAAAGAAAAACATTAATTTGAAACTGTCTTTGTTTAGTGTAAAATGAGTTATTGACTGTTTAAACTATAGCAGTATTTGTTTCCCAACATTCTTACTGCGACTATGGAATCTGTAATTAAATTTATTTTATTCCATTCAATAACAAGTAGCAAATCAACTTTACAAGTACTATTACAGCAACTGCCGATTTAAAAGTAAATACCAAAATTAAATCATATCTTGAGTTTAAACACTTTGGCCACGTGTTCACAATACGAAGGTTAATCGACAATTGCAATCATAATGATATAGATCATTAAATGTTGTCAGTTAAATCTCCCATTTTCAATTTTCACATTGAAGAATATACCGTATACAAGACATAACTAACCTGAAATATCTGATTTCAGAGTAACCTCATTTCTTACATCATCTCCTTTGTTAGCTTCCAAACATTCTACACTTTCTGTTCCACAACTCTGGAAAATATTTATTTTAATGCTTATAAGTGATGTTAACGTTTAGTATTTCAGAGAAAAATATAAATCGTGATCTGCCTATCACCATATTTTTCAATACCTTAACATATTTTTAAAAATTAATGTTATTCTAGTTTGATGAAAATACCTTATTAAAAAGTTTTTTTATATAGGAGTTTAATTCACAATAAATAATAATGACAAAGGTCATTGTTAAGGTCCAGTTAAATTACAGCCTGTTGATAAATTCCCGCCAAATAATGTATCAGTGAATAACATGATATATTCTATTTATTATATGTTCTATATATTTTATGTTATAAAAATATTTGGACAAGTTACTTTAAAGCTATTTAAACAAAAATAAGAGAAATATGAAGTAATAGTTAAGAGAAAGGTCAATTTTATAAATGTTGATAAAGGAATATGAGCATGTTGACCCCCAATATGGCGACCAACGGGAAATAACTCTTGTTAATTTAGGTCTACTGAAAACTATCTATATATATCAGCATATAAAGTTTATAAGGATATCTTGAAAACTGTCTATGAAAAAAGGCCAAACACACATTTGAAGTTAAAGGTAAACAGTATTGATTCTGTTGGATTTTTCTAATTATAACGAATATGTATGTACATCAGCATACCGGTATTACGTTCGAATAAAATATCTGGAATAGTTTCTTTGAGACTGAACAAAAAGCAAAGTGTGACAAAGAGACAAACGGGGGACAGAAGACGGACATAAAACACTTTCAACCCGGACCATATTTATGGTGGGGCTTAAAATCATTTAGGTCAATCAAAAATAATTATGAAATACCTTTAATTTTTCCTGAGTCATATTGATTAAATTATTTATCCGCTCTGCTGTTCTTCTCTCTTTGTCTGAATATAACCTTACGACAGGTAAAAATTTCCGAAAATATTCTCTTGATCTCTGTTTTATAAACTCAATGTTTTCTTTCAATTCGCATGATCCATTTTCTATTGGAATATCAAGAAGAATTTGTTCGACCAAAGCGAAGAAACTGTCTTCATAGTCATCTTCATCCTTATCCTCTTCACTCTGTTCCGCGTCAAACAAAGAAGGTAATGTGAGAAAACATTTTTGCAATTCGGAAATGTTTCTTTTTTCTTCATCATTGAGATCACAGATATTTAGTAATAATACGAATAATGTTTGAATGTCTAAGGACTTTATATTGACATCTTTCACGGGTTCGTATTTGCAGGAACATGGACCTTGGAATGCACATTTTTTAGGAACAATCCTATAAAGCTGTCGCCATTGTCCTCTTGACATGAACATCTTTCGTTGTGGTGAGGATGATATTCGGCAGCAACAGCAGTGCTTTGTGATGTATAAGTGAAATATTTCATGTTTTTTCTTGTGTAAAAAGTCGGTAAAATATTCACTTATTCTGTCTTCAGTGACGCGCTGTAAAGCAAGTTTTCCTACGACTTGAATGAGAATTGCCGACCCGATCCCGGGTGGTAGCCAACTTTGTTGCAAGTATTCAACCATTTGTCTAGAAATGAAATGAGAACGTTGATTCAAATTTTAAAATATTTGAAGAGTTTACACATATCCTAGAACAAACAGAGAAAAATACCTTTAAGAAACCTTCATTTAAAAAAAATATTATTTGCTCCGACAAATCAGAAATTTACTCAAACGAATTTGCAATTCGATTGAATGAACAAGCAGGACGTTTGGTTGAATTACATATAATTGTTCGAACATCTTAAAAATTAATTCGGAAAAAAATTACATGCGTAAAAATAATCCATATGCAGTTACATATTAAATATAAAAAAGGGTCGAAGCGAATAAAGGACGGTTCATTTATGCCATATGTACGTATTACTCGCACAATTTGAGATCTCTTGAGGACATGTTAGGACAATTCGTCCTAAAAAATTTCTTAACTAAATCCAAACAGATTTCTTATTGACGAAACTTATTTCTGGCTACTCAGAAAAGGTCATAGGGACGAAAACCTATATCACACCCAAACAATTTCCCCCTGCTTATCCAACATTGCCATAATAACATGCAAGCTTCGTTAGATGTTCAAAAGACGAAATTTGACCCCAAAAAATTGAATTTTAAAGAATTTTTTCTTTAAAATTTCAAAGCAAACCATATAAAATGCAAACATATTTAAAATAAAACCTACATTAAATGTAAAGACTTCCTCTTTTCAGCTGGATATATTTCCGACGGCTGTAGATTGAAAAAGTGAAAAACTGCATTTGCCCCCGAAATTTATTTCTGCATTTATCCATAAACAAGCAACGCTACGTTTTGGTTCCTCTGTTATGATGAATCAATTTATACTTACTTTACCTGGCATGAAGCCAGTCAGTGGTAAATATAGTGGGCTATTCTAATTTCAAACACATTCTTTTGACACTTTAAAATACTTTTTATTTTTTAAATCAATTTAAGTGTTGGGTTCTTCATATTATAAATGCAGCACAAATTAGCAGAGGCATTTTACAAATATGTTATTGATATATAGCCAGATTAATTATTGGAAAAAACCTTATCCTTAGAGATTCGTGTAAGTCTTTTTTAAACATTTTTTGTCATGTATATAGCTATAGATTAATATTATGTCAATAATGAAAAAATCATTGTCTTGAAACCATTAAAATCAATAAAAGTATTTCCGACAACAAAATGTAAATACTGTGAAATCACAAATTTTCGTGTAGGGTTATTTTTCGTTGTTTTCGAGGTATGACGAGACCCACATATTTATATCCACCACGAAATGTAAAATGTTACATACATAAGTACGCATTGATTCTTGATCCACGAAATCATATCCACACGAACCAAGAGATTTTCATCAAACCACGAAAATTTGACCACACAAAAATATGTGATTTTATTGTATGAGGAAAACAAAATGTAAACATAAAAGACTAAAAGATTTGTTTATGAAAAAGCAGGCTATTAGACGATGATTGATCTTAAAAAATCCTTTAAGCAATACTGAATTAATTTGGAGATTAAAAAAAAACAAGGAAAAAGTAAAATATTAGAAGTGCGTGCGATCAGGTGCCTAGGAGAAATACTCGTTTTTCGTATATTCAGATGTTTGTCAGTGCTTACTTACCTTTTTAGTGCAGAAAGGTCAATATTTATTACACAAGAGTATGAAAATAATTGAAAACGTCATATTTCTCGTTTATTATATCATAAAGGTGTACTTTTTTCTTTGTTAAAATAAAGAGGTGTATCATTTCTTTAAAAAAAAAATGAATAACAACGTTTCACACAAAGATTTTTTAAGATATTACCTGTTATGCATGTCGGAATTGTTAAAAAATTGTTTAAAAATACGACAAGAAAAACGGGGTGATACCAATCTAATTAAAATTAGATGTTTGATCCGCTCGCATACGTTAGTGTAGCAAGTATGCGAGCGGATGTAACATCTAATTTTAGTTAGATTGGGGTGATACATGTACTGACATTGTGCTCCAATATAATTGTTAATGCGAGATGAATTACAAAGAATGTGCATTCATTTTAAAGATACAAGTCATATAAATTAAAAACCTGTTAATTTTGAATGTGATTTGACATTTTTGGCTTTTTTTAGCGCATATTTAGGGTAAAACAATAATGTCTGAAAATAATCTATTTTTAGCATTTCACACTGTTTTTGCACGTGCTCCTGTGTAAAAATAAGCATATAAAGGTATTGTTCTTAGGGTAGTCCGATCCTCAGTATATAAAATTAGCAATTAAATAATCAAAAATACTCATAAAAGTATCTCTGAGTCCATAAATTTAAGTAAATTTATCCACAATATTTCTATAAAGTTATAGATTAAAGTTTATTTAAGGAATGAATTTAATAGCTACCCATTTTATACGGTATAAACTGGGTTGGGGCATTTACGCTTCACGGTTTATAAAAAAGCGTAAACTGTTCCAACCCAGTTTATACCGTATAAAATGGGTAGCTATTAAATTCATTGCTTATAATTTAATTTTCATTAATTTGATGTAAAAAAAAAAACCGATTGTTCTAACAAAATGACTTCAATTTGTACAAAATTTGAATATAACGTCAGGCGGATTGATACGTTTTTGACGCGCGTCATTGTGACGTAGGCAACCCATTTTATACGATATGAAGTAAATTTTTTATCATTTAATTTCTATAAAATACTTGATTCTGATTGGATAAAAAATTGTTTTGATAACTCCATCAATAAAATCTAGAGTTCGCTTGCACTAAGCAGCCGGAACTACTTTGGCAGTCTTTACATGTATATTCCCCCTTCCAGATTACTTTTTGAAGGAATAATTAAATACCTTTAATTAAATAAATAAATATTTTCCTGAATTTCGAAACCTGTCCGTTACGTTCCTGACTTATTTTCTACTTTCGTTTCGTTTTGAATTATCCCCCTTTGCTAAACAAATCAAATCGTCTGCATAACAACAATACAGTTTTGGGAAAGAAGGAAAGAAATCGACATACTTTTGTTAAATGTTCGGCTCTGAGATATCTGGTATGAACAACAGAATTCTGAAGAAATGTTTTTTTTTTACGCTAAAAGCAGGGAAAACCGTTAGGCAAAACCTGTTCAATCTTGGGAAACGAATGATCGAGAAAAACGACACTGCCGGAATGAGGACGGAATTCTTTTTTATCTTAAACAGTCGGAAGCAGACTCTTTCAGGCTTTACAGCATTGACAGGTTGTGATACTTATTTATATGTTCGGTTTGAAATTCAGTTGAAAAGATGTGCAAATGAAATCCAAAATTCCTGTGACCTAACGTTAGAATTGCATGTTAGGATATTTGAGTAGCTTACCCTGACATTTACGAACTTAGATAACTTACCGTGGAAAATATACCCATTGGGATAACACAACAGGTAAGTTTTTTTCTGTTAAAGAACTATAAATTATTTCAGAGAATGTTGGCAATGACACGATAATATTTGAGAACGTTTCTTCGTTTGAGCCCTTTTGAATTTCAGCAACGTTAACGTTGTTGTGATGAATTCGTGCGCAATGTTTTTGATGCGTAAATTTAATAGAAAAGTGAAAGAAAGTTTCATTTTATTAATTTAAAATCAAAAATTAAATGATAAGAAATGGTTGTAATATTTTTTTCCTTTGATCGATGTATCAAAGAAAAATTTGGAAGGAAAACTTTTTCATCAATGCGCTACGCGCATTGATGAAGTTTTCCGTCCAAATTTTTCTTTGATACATCGATCAAAGGAAAAAATATTACATTCATTTCTTAAATCCAATCTAATACAGCGTTACAACCAGAATTAAATTATATGATTATATAGTAAAAATTGTCAAATCTTTAATATTTTTGCAGGAAAAGCGCATTGGAATATCAGCAATGCATTTTTTAATTGCAAACTGATCAGCAAATATATTTTAGGTTAAAAAACGATAGGTATCCAGGCATTCAGGGAAATTGTCATGATTTTCATACTTATTTGGTATTTTTTGTCTTTTATTTCCGTCTTGTATTCTATAATACATAGTGTAAAAGGCTTTTGCTATCATTGCAAAACACCACAGATCACTTCTCATTTCATATCATGCTAATAATCATTGGTATCTAAGGCTGGATTCAAGAAAATCTTTTTTTTTCTAAAACTGTATTAATTTTTTCTCCATTTATAGGGTACAAATGTAAACTTTTATAAGACCTTTTCTAAGACTTCCAAAGACCTTGAATCTTAAAAGAGATGAAAAAATGAAAATTGTTGCATGAAAAAATTTTATTTCCAAGCTTCATTTTAATATTAATTTTTCCTTGATCCTTCCTGGCTGAGGATCGGATATCCTTAATACCTTAAAATTAAGAGCAAGTGGTCAGGAAAGAAATGTCAAAGTTTTGAAAATTTCACAAAGACTTTTCGGGCATAAGTCCCCCTTAAAATATGCTAAATTTGAAGCCTTTTTCCCGGAAGAAAAATTGTCTCTTTGTTCATGTTGTCTACACTGAAATTAAATGATAAGGAATGAAGCTTATTTCAACGCGGTTTATTAAAAAAAAAATACATATGTGCCGATAATTCATCTGCACTTATATGAATTTATACCGTAATATGGCAATTTTAGAGGTCCTGATCTTTGGAAAAAATGAACTTAGTAATTAATTTCTAGACCAACCCAGAAGATGAACTTTTTTGAAAATTTTTAATTTGGTGACTTTTTACAATAACTTTCCTCTACCTGATTAAAAAAGAAATTTCTAGGGCAGAAATACAAAAAATATGGAAAAAATGTGATATTTTGGCGCTTTTCCAACAAATTCCCATAAGGTCCAATAGTAAACTTTGACATGTTTAGAAATGCCCCCCTAAGAAATCGGGATGGTAAACATTTGATTTTTTAATCTTAAAACAATAAATATAATAGTAAAAATTCATTATCAAAAAATTATCAAAATCCCTAGGGCAGAAATAATTAGACTCGGCCTAGTGAAGCTTTAGA